CACTGAGAATCTGTAATGAGATGCTTCCTACAAGACTGAGATACAAATGGACACATTAAAATGCCTTCCCATGCCAGAGTCGGTGGCTCAGCCTGTAATCCCAGTGCTTTGGGAGGCCGAGGTGAGTGGATTGCCTGAGCCCGCAGGTTCAAGACCCGCCAGGGCAACTTGGCGAGACCTCATCTCTACAATAAATCAAAAATTAGCCAGGCATGGTAGCACGTGCCTGTAGTTCCAGCTACTTGGAAGGCTGAGAAGGCTGGATCGCCGGAGCCCAGCAGGTCGAGGCTGCTGTGGCCAGAAGCGGCCACTGCACTCCAGTCTGGGTGACAGAGTGAGACTCCAACTCAAAAAACAAAACAAAACAAAAAAAACAACCTTCCCACATTTTGTTGGTTGATAATTGATATCAAAGGCTTACATGATACCAAAATTTTTCATGGGACCCACTAGCTTCCTGACACAATTTATCCAGTTAATTAGCTTCACCTCTAGCAAAGCAGAATCTTGGAAAGGGAAATACTAGTAGCAAATTTTACAACAGTGATGAGAAAACCTCAGACTCTGCCCTCAAAAGTGGTCCCATGGTATCTTGAACAACCAGGTTATAAGAAGAGTTTACTGAAGTTATCAGAGTATGTGTAAAGAAGCAAACTAGAAATTAGGGAATGACCAAAGACAAATTTAAAACTGAACAGTTTTCCTTGGGTGGGACCTACATATAAATACATGCTAAGGGTCTGATCAAAAATCCTGAACTGTTTGTCTGTCATCAAAAGTACTTCATAGAAAACACGTTTATAGAAACCAATTGTCAAAGAGCTATGCCATTGCTACAAAATAGCAACAATCAAGGCAGTGTGATGCTGGCATAAGGATAGACATATACAGGTCAATAGAATAAAAGTCCACAATCTCTCATATGTAAAATCAATAAATTTGCAGTAAGGATGCCAGACAGTTCAATGGGGAAAACAATAGTCTTTGTCAATAAATGATGCTAGAACCACTAGATAGCCATATGCAAAAGAATGAGGTTGAAATCTTACCTCATGCCATATACAAAAGTTAAACCAAATCAAACACCTAGCTAAGTGTAAGAGTGAAACCATAAAACTCTTAGAAGAAAACAGATTTAAGTCTTTCTGACCTTGTGGAATAGAAGTCAGAGAGAGATTAAAGAGAATCAGAATGTATTGCCACTAATAGCTTTATCATGATTCATTGTAAGGCTTTACTGCAAAAAAAAGCCAAAAAAAGTTGTCTTGTCTTAGAATTACTTTGATGGCTAAGAATATACCAGAGATAAATCAATACAGAAACATTACTCGGGAAGCTATTTTAATAATCTGGTTGAGAACAAAGAGGCTTGGACCAGAATGATAGGAGGGAGGTGATGAAAAGTGGTTGGACTGTGGATAAGGGGGAACCCCCCAAAAATCTGGATGGATTAAAAAAATTGTGTATTCTTACATGCTTAAAGTTCAATCACCTTCAAAGTACTGTTTGATGCAATACAGCTATCGAGACCCTTTCTCCACTGCTCAAAACAGGTTTTGAACTCATCAATTTTGATGTCTTTTAATGCTTCTGCCACTTTTTGTTTCACCTCTTCCACATCGGCAAAACGGACTTTTTTCATCTGGGGGAATAAAAAAAAAGTTGCTCAGGGCGAGACCAGGTGTATAGGGTGGGTGTGGAGTCATGCTGCTTGGGGTCCAAAACTGCTGAACTCTCAACACAGTGTGGGTAGGTGCACTCAAAATCCCCCATCAGAGAATAGGCAAACACGTTGAATCTACCCCCAAAATTCACTGACGCGGAAACAGCCTCTCACAACTGCTAATACGTTGATGTTGATGGGTTCCGGGAACACTTACCCAGTGGGGGATGTCTGTACTACAAGGGGCCTGCCCTCCGAAAAATAATTCTGGGGTTTTTTTGGTCCCCCTTGTGTTTGGAAGATAAAGCCAACAGAAATTAGTAATAAATTGGATATTCAATGAGAGAGAGAAGTGTCAAGGAGGGCTCTACAGTTTTTGTCTTAGTGACTAGAAAAATAGAGGATTTACTAAAATAAGGAAGATAGAATAGAACAGATTTCTGAACAGAAGATCAGAAATTTTTGTACACGTTAGGTTTAAAATGATTATAAGATATCCAAATGAGGTTAAGATTTAGTCGTCTGGAGTTCCCAAGAAAGGTTAGAGACTAAAGATGATATATTTTTAATTCCCTAAGACTGAATGAAATTACCATTAGAATAGTGTCAAATGGAAAAACATGCCCTCGATAATCAGAATACAGACCTGCGTAGGGACATGTTTTTGGTAGTGTGCGCATGCATGCATTTACGTTTTGGCTACTATTTGTCAAAAGATACAGTTTGGGATAGACTAAATATCTTGGAGGACAAAGTCATAGATTGAATTCTGGCTCTATATACTGTTGACTGTGTAAATTAGGGAAAGTAAATTAAACTCTGACAACAATAAGGCTGATAATATCTTGCTTCAGTTCTGGTTGTGAACAATTTTTATGAAAAAATAAATTATTAAAAAAAAATTTTAAATACATAAGAGACTTTGTTTCGCCCTTAACTGTATATAAGCTAATTTTCTTCCTTCTTTAACTGTTAACCCTCTTCTCTAAAGAACTAATTTTTTTTTTGCTATGTAAACAACTAAAACTCAAAAAACTTTGTGAGCGAAACAACAAAAATCTTTGTGACCTTAGATTAGATGATGCATTTGTAGATATGACACCAAGAGCAACAAAACAAAAAACTGACTTCATCAAACTTAAGAACTTTTGTGCAAAGTACACCATACAGCGAAAACAAAACCTAAAATGGGAGAAAATATCTGCAAACCACTTATCTGAGAAGGGACTTCTATCTAGCATATATAAAGAACTCTTACAACTCAATAATTAAGACAATCCAATCACAAAATGGGCAAAGACCCTGAACAAACATTTCTCCAAAAAGAATACACAAACAGCCAACACACATTTCCATCAGGGAAATGCAAACCAAGGCCATAAGGAAATACCAGTTCATATCCACTAGGATGGCTGTGAGCAAAGGCAGGTGTTAATGAGGATGTGGAGATACTGAAACTCTTATACACTGCTGGTGGGATTGTAAAACAGTGCAGCACTTTAGAAAACATTTTGTTCTCCAAAAGGTTAAACATAGTTACTGTGTGACCCGGCATTTTATCTCCTGAGTATATATCCAAAGAGAAATCAATGTCCACATAAGAATTTGCACAAACTATTCAAGAAACAGCATGACACATAATAGCCAAAAAGTAAAAACCCAAAGGCTCATCAACTGATTCATGGATAAATAAAATGTGCCATATCCATTTAATGGAATGCTATTCAGCAAAAAGGAATAAAGTACTGATCCGTGCAACAATATAATTGAACCTAGAAAACAGGCTAAGTGAAAGAAGCCAGTCACAAAAGACCACATATTATGATTTTATTTATATAAATGTCCATAATGGGCAATGTTAGAGAAACAAAGTAAATTAGTGGTTTTCTAAGTGGTGGAGGTTGGCATTTGGAGAAAATGGGAGCCAGGTGCAGGGACTTGTACCTTAATTCCAGCTACTTGGGAGGCTTAGGTGGAAGGATCAATTGACCCAGGAGTTTGAGGCTGCAGTGAGCTTTGATTGCACCACTGTGCTCCAGCCTAGGCAACAGAGTGAGACCTTGTTTCCAAAATAACAATAATAATAAAAATGGGGAGTGTTAATGGGCACAGATTTGTTTGGGATAATGATTATGCTCTAAAATTAATCACAGTGACTGCTTCACAACTTTGTAAATATACAAAGGACCACAGAATTGCACATTTTAAATAGATGATATATATGGTATATGCGAAAGTCTTTCAGGGGGTCAAGTGAGTAGCCCAACTGTCTCTTTGTGTGGGTTCCATGTGCCACAGTGCTAGGAGTCAGGCTCTGGCAGTCACTTGAAACCTACAGGTCAGCCCCATTCCCAGATCCAGCCTTGGCCTGACCTCCACCTCCTTGAGCCTAAGCATTTAAACATTTTTTCTGAATCTTTAGACCTACAGCTCCCTACTGTAGGGAGCCGGCTGCAGACCTTGAACCTAAGTTAAGCTCAATCCAGAGGCCCAGCAAGCAGAAGGGCTAGTGGTAAGGTGGCTATCCATGTCTGTATGTGAAGTGTGTAGCAATAAAGCAAAAGTGTTGAAAATAAATAAAAATATTAAGATGGCTATGTCAAGATAACTAGCTACAGGATGAATGTTGAGACTGATGTCCATTCAAAGAGGTGACATTTAAATTCCAAGCCATTTAACAAGCATGCTTAAAAGTACTGACAAGCTTCTCACAAGTATGTATTAATTCTTTTCAAGTCCTATTTTAGTCCGTCATTTTTATAGCAATCAATATAAATCAAAAGCATTTTTACAACAATCCATTTTGTATTCAAATAGAAACACATTTAACAATCAAAGTCATATGGCTTTAAAACTTCCGAGCTGAGTTTTGGACTCAGATGGACAGTTCATTGTCAGCAGCCATTAAACCAAGGCTCTTGATCCAGGACCAGACGAAGAGATACAGTACTTGCTTTCAAGGACACATTACATTTCATTAAGTATGTCTTTCTAAAACTATTCTGTAAATGAAACAAACTGGATTTTAAAAAGCAGTGGGCATAAGGTGAACTGCTACACAATCCTGTGACCATACTGAAGAATATTATTGTTTTTATATCAAAAGGGAAGTTACACTCTAGTCTTATCCCAGGGTGGTGTTCACCCAACGAGCCCCCGCACCCTTCCATGCCCATCTCATCCTGCTAACAGAATTTCTACTTCTAAGGGAATCGGTTTCTCTTTTTCCCACTGTGGTTCAAGAATTGATGCTATAGCTTCAGAAGACTTTACAATATTTATGGATATCAGCCACAGAATCCTGTAACTGAGTCTTTTCTTAAAAAAAGAAAACCAGTTATTTTTCATGCCATTTATTTAGATCAATCTGTTTTCCTCCAGGGAAGGTACTAAGCGAATTTAAACAAAGACAAGTGATTGAAGTAAGGACAGATATGAGGAATGAGCCTGGGATTTGAGGCCCACCACACAGCCCTTACCTTCAACTTACCTGCCCAGTCTTTCCCCACCTCCTTCACCCCTCTGAAATTTTAGGTCTAGCAGCCCACAGGCTACTTCAAGCTTTCCTTCTACTATGCTGTTCCCACATCATTTTCTTTCCTTGGAAACACGCCTTCACTTCAGCCCCATTCAGTCTTTACTTGATCACAACATATTCGTCTTTCAAAACCCAGTGTAAAACCTCATATAGCCTCACCTAACATTTCCTTACCTCTAGGAAGTCACACAAACTCAGTGCAGCGGCACAGTCAGCAGCAACATACCATCATCACAGCACTGAGAGCAGGCACAAAGGACACAGACTGACTTAACTCTGTCTCTCCTTTAGAACTTGAAGTCTGTCTGAGTGAGGTCTATAAAGTCTTCAAGATTATAGCAATCATTTATTTTAAATATTCATATGCGTCTATGTTATAAAAACAATTATAATGCAAACATTCAATAGGGCATCTTTCCCAGTGCTCCCAAGATTTCATCTCTTTCTGCTGCTGTAGGCATAAATGGTTTCACTCCATTCTGTCTTCTCTGGAGCATGACAGAATTCTGTGCACAGGTATGAAAAAAAAAAAGAAACCAAAATCAGACATGTATTAGATGCTAATCATTTGCCAGTAATTTGCTACTACTTCATTAAAAAGGAAATGATAAAAATCAAGTTAAAAATAAACCAAAACCTAATTATAGGACTCCAGATAAATGTTTTCAAACTATTAACAATTAAATGGAAGTGGTTATTGCCATAGGAAAAATAGTGAGTAATACCATTAACAGCAACTGGAAGGAGGATATACTTTGTAAGTACAAAACATAGAAGTATACATGGTCCACCAAGAAGGACTACTGAATAATTACAAAATAAAACCAACAGTGCTTTTAGCAAAGGGAAAGGAAATAGCTAGACTCAGTGCTCAAGGAAACAGAAATTACATACCAATGTCTTGAGAAAAATAGAACCATTTTAGTAGTAGGAGAGAAAAGGATAGAAATGGAAGCCTAACTTGATGTGTTATGGCAGAGGAAGTTATAAAACTCTGTACATCTCTCAGAAAACTAAATTTATAACAAGGCTATTATTTTGGGGCTGCAGATACTTATATGCTTAGGAAGACCACATATATTAAAACTGCATTCTTACAGCTTACAGTAAGATAAGGCTAAGAGATGTTCTCAAGAATCCTTTAGAGCTAAAATAGCACACAGAGGATAAAGGTGAAAAGTTAAGTTTCCCTACAGTCATCACTGGGAAAGGATTTTGGAAACTGACTAGTTTTAGGCTTCAGTTTCAAGCTAAGCAACGGGTTTTAACACAAAGCTAAGCAGGCCAGGCTTACCCAGAATCTCCGACAATTTTTGTACTTCAAGAAGTGAGTGGAACACCTTTCCCTGTCATAGTTATTTTCATCCATACATCTGGTGGAAGCATCAGATTCCTTAAATATGTAAGAGAGGCATCATTTAAAAGGTGGAATGTGATTTAAAACAAATAAAAATACTGAAGCTGCTTTCCCCCAAAACAAATAATGTGAAATAGCTCATTTTTGTTCATTTTAATGTGCAGACACTAACAAAAGCTAAATGATCTTGCCAACTATTCTAGCACTCACCCTGTTCAGGCTGACATCCTCTTTTTCATAGTCTGGGCTGTTTTCTGAATATCTGATCACTGAAATTTGAACCAAATTGTGACCACAGCCAATCAAATGTGATCAGGTAAACCAGTACCATCTAACAAGAAAAGGAGGCAAGGTACAATATGCTCAAAATCACTGCAGTGCAGCTAGAATCAATAGCTAGTCTCCCAACTCACTGTACAGCACTCCTGCTTTTCCAAATTCTCACTTTGACGTGAATGTTTAATCATAATGCTGGTCTCACGATTCCAAGTAAATTGCTAATAACTGGTCTACATCAAGGCAACCTAAATTAACACCATTCATCTCAATGTGTTTTGGCTATCATTCACTCTATTACGCAAGTAAAAAAATTATGTAAGCAATTTTAATAGATATCATTAATATCACTTCAAAACCAAAATGAGCAACATAGGGCTATGAGTTCAAAGGGTAGTCGGTGCCACTTGGAGATTAAATTTAAGCTGACTGAACTAGAAGTAGATGGATAACAAACTTCAAAGTGAAAAGTATAATTCTAAGAAATCATCTAAAGAAAAGCTTTAACCAAATGGGTAGATAATTTGCTTCACAGATCTAAGAAAACATGTCCTATCTAAACAGATTTGCTTAATAAAGCTGTTGAAAACCAGTCTAATACACAGAACAAAGCTAAATTTCTATACCAGATATTTAATGAATTTATATATTTGGTAAAAGCATACTGGATCAGGGAGTACAATTTTCATAGTATCAGTATAATGACTATACTACTTAAGAGTGGCAGAACCACAAGTATTGAAATCATACCAAATAAATGACAATAAAAGCTTCTTATTAAAACAAAACAAATTGTTTATAAGATACCATTGTGAAAATATTTAGGTTTTAAATAGATTATTTCTATTATCAGCCCATTATTCTCAGCCTGGTTGTCTCAAGGACATGATGAGATTATTGCTAATTAAATAAATTTCAGCAACAGTTTTAAAACATCACGCCTTCCAATTTTCCATGTTTGAAGCTAGGGTTTTCCTCAGTGCTACAAATGCCTGTTTAGATATACAGTGACAACTAAGCACTTGCATATTATACAAATTAGGAAAACTAAAGAAAAATCTTTGTTAGTTAAGTTATGAATATCTAAAAATGCTCTAGCGAAATAGGATATGCTAGCCAGTAATATTTTTTGCACAGAAATAACTTTATTCAATAACTGCAGCAAATAGATGCCCACAAAATTAAAAGGAGCCTATTTTCCAAGTTAACATTCATGAAAATTAATAGCATATCACCCTACCGACAAGCAAGGATTTATATCAGGATCTCTCAGCCTCCGTGTTACCAAGGGCATCCTAACAGTCTTCTTACTGAAAGCAGACAGGGAAAAAAGAATTATGCAGTGGACGACAGAAGATAAATCAATAAATCTCAATAGTTTCACAAGTACTTTATAATTTAATTTGGGCATATGATCATCTCATGAGGAACTTCATGTATTCTCTGCATTTTGAGAATAAAAACGTGAACGTGTTTTTCCTTTGTATTGCCATAACACCTAAACACAAAGGCCATACATTCTATCGAAATGCACCTACTAAAATGGTGTTATGCTGTCCAGAAAGAAAGAGTTAAATTGTAATTCAGTTGTAGCTTATTCTTAAGTTTAAGGAACTAACTGTACTAATAAAATCTAAGAATACAATGTGCATTCCAACAATTTTCCTTATACACTGTTTTGCATACAAAATAAGAATGGTTTAGACGGTCCAACGTTATTTATTTATTTATTTATTTATTTTTGGAGTTGGAATCTCACTCTGTCACCTAGGCTAGAGTGCAGTGCACTCTCGTGGCCACCCCAGCATCAACCTGCTGGGCTCTGGGAGCCTTCCGCCTCAGCCTTCCAAGTAGCCAGAACTACAGGCGCATGCTACCATGCCCCGCTAACTTTTTACTTATTTATTGTAGAGACGAGGTCTAGGCAAGCTGCCTGGGCTGGTCTCAGACATGCAGGCTCAGGCAATCCACTCACCTCGGCCTCCCAAAGTGCTGCGATGACAGACTGAGCCACTGAGCCGGCCTTAGACAGCCCTACGTTAGAGAAAACATTCATGAATTAAAGTACCAGAGTGCCTACTCTGTGGCTCACACTAGGGTAGCCAGTACACCAAAAAGCCAAGTTACTGCTTACTTGACATTTCGAAAAGTCATCGTGTTTAAAAATAAAAAAAGGTTGAAAATTTGCTTCCAGTGACATCTTCTGTTTAACCCTGGGTTGAAGGAAGTCAGGGAAGGCTATTGTGCTTCAGTAATCTTCCAACTCAAGTTTAGAGATACAGCTTTGTAAAAGTCTTTATTTGTTTAAGATGTTCATCGCAGCCGGGCTCGGTGGCTCAGCCTGTAATCCCGCGCCTTTGGGAGGCTGAGGTGAGTGGATCGCCTGAGCCCACGGGTTCGAGACCGCCTGGGCAGCGAGACCTCAGCTCTACAATAAAATCAAAGAAATCAGCCAGGCGTGGTAGCGCATGCCTGTAATTCCGGCTACTCGGAAGGCGGAGGCGGAAGAATCGCCGGAGCCCAGCAGGTCGAGGCTGCGGTGGCCGGGAGCATCCACTGTACTCCAGTCTGGGCAACAGAGTGAGACTCCAACTCAAAAAAAAAAAAAGATGTTCATCGTACACTAAGAGCCAACTAGTTATTCTAAGTCATATACTCATGTAACAGGTATGGCAACCATAACCCAGAATATAGCTGTTCTCTATAATAAAGTCCAACTGAAAGTAGTATTTCTATTATCTTCAGAGAAATTTCACAGAAACTAAAACAGAAAATTCAACTTTTGAATTCTGAGATAATGACTCCAAAGTGATTTTTATTATATTGGTGTATTGTTGATGAACCACCTACAAATATTTTTAAAACACTCTGAACTAAGCTTAAGGAGCTGATCTAAATTGTACTCTTGAATCCTGTTCTAGCTTATTCTACCTAAAGACCAAAGGAGAAGCCAGCAAATAAAGCAGTTTGACCTACAAAACTCCAATGACAACAATAAGGCATTGATCTGTATAACTAGATACAGGTCAGAATTTTTGTATGAAATGATTTCTACCTTCCTTGACCAAGATGGGACCTCAGAAAATATCAGTCACGTTAAAAGAAATGAAGCGTATTCCAGAAAATCAAATCAAACCCTACACACTCCTGATAAGTGAAAGCACGCTCAATTAGGAGCCCCCTAGTCCAATTTCTTCTACTACAGGAAAAATCAAGATGTCTGGGTCAAAGGAGACCAACCTTTGCAAAGAAGAATAGAAAAGGGTTTGGTTATTTGGGGGTCCTTTCGCTTTAAGTAATCAGTGAATTATAATTTTATCTCATGATTTTCACTGTAATACAAGAAAACATTCAGGCAGCAGCAAAGAAATTCAAGATGCTTTTCAATTATATCCAGAAGCTTCTTACTCTCCAGAACACAATTTTTTTTTGCAGGTTTGACTTCTTCCTGAGATGACGGTCTCAAGCATATTCACAGCTTTCTTGTTCACACCTATCATAGCTATGATGTGAGAACACAGAACTCTTCCTAGCTGTTCATACGCCTCCGACAGAATCATCTCAGCAAGGCAGATGACGGCAAACCTGTATGAAATTCAAGCTGTGTACCTTATATGAAAGCACTCTACGCTGTACCTCATCAGTCAGAAATGACTTAAAAATAACACCTACGCAACATCACATATACCCCGATCAAGTCTGCTGCATGAGTTTATTCGCACGGCATCTGCCTTTCCGTCTGGATTCTAAACGCAAGTAGCTTCAGGTGTGGCTTTCTGAAAATCACCTCCTTGGCACGAGTCCCTCGTGTATTAACTGGAACTGAAAGGGAAATGTCCATTTTACAGTGAGGAGCGGGCAAGACGAGCGCTCCGCCAAAGAGGCCTTATCTACTTACTTATTGAATGTACTAAGCAAACGTTACAAGGCTCTACAACGGGCAGGCGACAGCCAGGAAGAAAATCAAACAAAAATGTGAGGGAGGGGCCACAAAACCACAGCACGTTTGAGGAAGAACGCTAGAGTCCACTCCAGAGGGCCGCCTGCTTCATAAAGTTGCTCCCCGTTTCCCATCCGGGGGTTCGCGCCCCCACTCTCCAGGTAGCTTTGAAAGGGAAGGGGACAGGGGGACGTTCCTGAACACGCCCAGGCTGGCCGGAGCCCAGGCAGGTCCTGGGGCTCTGCGAAACCGGGAAGCTGACACGCACACCATGCTGCCAACACAGGGCTGGCTGCGGAGGGGCAGGGGCCACGAGGCGGGGCCGGCACGCCCGGGCTGGGCGGGG